AAAGATTGAAAGCGGCCATCTCCAAGCAAGCTAATACCAAATAAAGCTAAATCCAGCCCCTAAACAGAGAGATCCTAGTCTCAAACACAAGAACCATAACAGGCGAAGACTACACCTACTCAGAGAAAGAACTTACCTCACCGCCGGTGGCAAGCTCCGGCCAAGATTGGCGTCGAATCGGGAGGATACAACTGCATGAATCCAAGGCAATCGGAGTCAAGCAAAAACCTAGGACTTTCCAAGCGGAGGAAGGCCCGAACCCTGCCTAATCGAGCCGAGCACACTGCCCCGACGAGAAGGAACGATTCAACCACCAACCCCACCGACGACCTAGACAGATCTTGACCACAAACAAACCCTCACCGAACCGAGATCTGAAATCCCACCACGAGCAAGTTCTCATACCGGATCTAGAACCAAAATCCACCGAGAAACTAAAGCATAAAGACTAAAAACGACTGGATCCGGCTTCAGCGCTAAAGGAGCCGCCAACCGCCGGACCAAACCAAGCAAAACGTCGTAGGATTACTGTAGCCACCGCTCTGTTATTTTGATATGTTAGTTTTCATTTTTTATGGATTAATGAATGTTTGATTCATAAATACATAAGGGTTCACTTTTGAAATTCTCTAATTTCTCAATGAAGAAAAGAAAATATTAAAAGTTATTCGTTCATACTAAGAATAACTTTTGGTATAGGATTTTAGATTTTTATAGATAAATGACGTGTGGTTTAGGGTTTAGGGGCTCACTTTCCTTAAAACACAAATATGTTAACCAATTAACAAAAGAAAAACACAATAAATTGTTGTTTCATATTAAAAACTTATATATTACAAAAATACAAACTAAGAAAGTGAAATTAGTGAATCTTTGATTTAGGGTTTAGGGTATCATAATACATCAATAGTTTTGATATAGGTTTTTTTTGGATAAATGAGTGTTTGATTAGAGGTTTTAGGATATCATAAAACATAAATAAGTTTGATATAAGGTTTTGTGTTTTTATGAATAAATGAATGTAACGGATTTTAAGCATCTCTATAGTGTTTTTAAAATTTGTACCATGTATTTGATTCACCCATTTAGGGTATAGATATATATATTTTTTAAAGTTTACTTTAAAATAATTTATACTTAATCATGGGTTAAGACTAGAATTAAAAATGTATTCAAGGACTCTTAATCATGGTTTAGAGTTATAATTACAAATTAATACTACCTATCCATTTTTG